ACGATATCCTCGTCATCCGCCTATAACACCACATTTCGAACAACAGCAACTATTTTTCTTCATTAATTTATAGTGGATAAAAATTAAGAATAAATTTTCACATTAATATAAAATAAATTCAGATGATGAAGGCCTTTTTATATTCAATTTACTATTTTGTGTATAGTTTACTACCGGCTTGTCAAGCAGAAATATAGTAAAATTAATTGACAGAAATAAATTGATTTTTATGTGATATGTTGTTAATAAATAAAACACAAAATGATTAGAAATGTTTATTCTTTTTAACATTTTCTGTCTCCTATATCTAATAATTTTGAAGTTACTCATTTCTAATCTATATCGATGTGATTTTACAATATGCCCTTTCGATCAGAAATAGTTTTATTGGAAAATAATTAATAGTTTTTGAGTTATCGACTATTTCAGTCTGTAAATAAAAGTTCTTGAAATCACTGTATACGTATCACATGATTTTTGGCATAGATTACACTTTATTTAACCTTTGGAACATACTGCTTTAGTCTGAACATAGTTCTGATCCTGAAAGATGCTAATTAGCATTTTTAACTTCTTTTAAACTTGTCTAATATGTTCTCCGTATTGCTTTTCACTATTAAAAATTACCAAAATACTGTTCATATGTGTATTTAAATAGTATCGTAGAAGTAAGAAACTCACATAATGCCAGTTTTAGTAGCTGTCACTAATTCATTCATACCATATTATTTCTAGTGATTAATATAAATAAATAACAAAAAAAGTGCAAACTCAAAATTTATGATAGGAATCAAAAATAAAAAATTTTTCTTTTATTCACCTTTGTACAATTGGCACGATAAAATATGGTGCTATTAGAATATCTTCACTAAAATTTTCACCTTGTAGTAAGGGTAAATTAGAAAATATTAGTATTAGGGTTATACCACAAAAGTTAATTTTAAATTTAATGAAGTATACTCAATAATGTAAAAAACGGCTTCCTTGTCAGTTATGAAAATATTTATTCTTTGACATGCAAGTAAACCATCACGTTTCAAATCGCTATGTTTTCGTTCCCCATACGCTTCTAATGAACGGTTTAGATCAATCATCCTTATACATACAATCGTAATTGGTTTACTAATATTATTATTATACACATAACTGTTTACCTGTACTTATTTAGTCCACTTCGTTATTAATTAACAATTTTTTTCTAATAAATTAATATATTT